GTTGGTAACATTTGTTCAAGGAGTATATACAAAAATCCCCTGAAGGTTTCCAAAATATCAGGTGGAGAGAGAGGATTCAGAGCCTTGCATGTCTTTAAATCAAGGCAGATCCCAGCCAGTACACACAATTCAAAGCAGTGCAGATCTAAATGCAGTCTCATTTTTGTGACAATGCACAAATCTGCATTGAAGTTCTTCCTGAATTAATCAGGAAGAAACCATAACAGCCATCAGTCCTCACTATTATTCACTGCACAAACATAAATATGACTACATAACCAAGTTGAAAACAAACCATAGATCACTTTAGAAGGGCTGTTCTAAAGGCAAGAACAAAAACCTTTTGTAAAGAAATTCAGGACTCCACTGACTTTTACCTTCTTCCCCCTTCCCCAATGTCAAGTAGTCAGGGACTGATCACTTAGAGGTTCTGTAGCAGAAGCAGCTTTGCTCCAAGTGCAGTCAGAATGAAGAGCAGTGAAGCCACTCTGCCACATGAGTTTCCATCTGGCCATGCCTACAGGAGTGCCACAGAGCCTGTCCCACCACTGGTGCCTGCCACCAGGAAGGAACTCCAACACCAGCAGGCACAGTAGAGAGAAAACACCACTAACAGACTTTATGGTCATTAAAGAGGTCTGTTTATTTGCTGCAGGGTCCAACACTTTCTTCACTGCTGCCATAAGCACAGCCAACTTTATTTTTGGTGCACAACCTTCTCCTTGCTCTTTGATCAAATCCTTGCTCAGTACAGTGCCTGCACAATTTTCAACCCATCACCTTTTAAGCAACAACAATGATCAATGAGGCAAATAAAACCCGAACCATGCAACATGTGTTAGGCTGATAAAATTAGGCTGAGAATATTTATATATTTACACAGAGAACATTCAACATTGGAACCTGCTTGCAGACTTGTATTATCTCGACCAAGTATCCAAACAGCTACATTCTGGTGTAAAATACTCTGTTGTTTAAGGTTTTGCGTAAAAGCTACTTACTTCACAATGCCTTGAACTGGATAACCGTACCTGGTTCTGACACAGAATTTCTACACACCAGCACCACACATGTGCAGTCATACCTTGCAGAATGTGTAAGGCATTTGCAGACATCTGATTGCTGTGACCACAGGAAATCCACTTTCCAGAGCTTTCAGCCATGACCTTTGGAAACCATGAGAGTCTTTCAAATACAAAGAGTGAATTCATATGAGAGACACTGTTCATCCAAGAACTATAAACTTGTCATTTCTTGACACTGCTACATACAACACAGATAGAATTTAAGACTAATAAATTATTTTCCTAAATAAAAATTTGTTCTTAAACCCCACTGAGTAACAACAGGGCTTAGGCACTTCTGAAGATTTTATCTTACATCTGTCTTTAATACGGAAGCTTCAGACTATAAAATACAGGACAAGAAATCATCTCAAAAAGGAACAATTAGTGACTGGCAAGAAACAGGTCAATAGTCTAAGAGTATAGTCTATTTCCCTGGATTCCACATCAATACAGAATTTCAGTGATCAGATGGGATTCTGTACATGAGGGTCTGCTGGAAGAAATCTGTCTGCAGAGTCAAGGACTTCACTGTCTAAATAATGAACATACTTTGGGAAAAACATATTACTGTGAAAACCCACCTGTGCAAACAATTCTCTTTTCTGGAAAGCACATCCTGCCCAGAAATAGAAAACTATAAAAATAGTAACAGCAATCCAGAGCCCAGCATGCCCAAGCCTTGTAAACAATGAAGACCAGGAGAATAAAAAGAGAAGGATCAGGGACCAACACAAACTGGATTAGCCAAGACAGCAGAAAGACTCATAGAGTTTCTAAAAGCATCTTCTTTTAAAAGGAGATTTGGAATCTACCTTGTCCTGGCTGGCAGGACATAAGAGAACATAATTTCACATACATGGTGGTCTCTAAGGCAGAGCAATAATCTGCTAGAACAAAATAATTGATTTAAGAGCTTTCTTAAAAAGAAAAAAAAAACAACAACCCAAAAAAAACCCCAACCAACTGACACAAAACAAAAACTCCCAAGCTCTTTATACTGGTTAAATCAATAGCTGTGAAAAACTTGTTATGGATTAAAAGATTCACATCCTTGTATTTGACATCTATCAATATACAACATCTATGAGGAGCTCAAGTGTTTAGCCTTGATCTCCAGAGGGAGTGAATGGGCAGAAGGATGGAAGGAGTTAACTGAGCAATGAGGTATGGTGGAATTCCAAAAAGAAAGAAATCTGTTCTGCCAAGTTTCCCAAAGGCATTAACTGAGCTGCATCTTCAAACATCAGCATGACTAATGAAACACACTGTGCTCCAACCATCAAGACAATGACAGCCAAAAGCCTTCATGGCACTGCAGGACACACCAGCTCCATCTGCAGCAATTATTTCAATGCTGAATTATTTCAACAGGGGCTGAATCCAGTTCACTGCTTAGGAGCTACAGAATTAAACCCCTCACCCCTCTCAAATACTGTGAGAGGTTCTTACCAACATTCACTTTTCTTTTTTGATGTAGTGCAAGAGCATGCTAAGGGTCCAGCTGTGCCATCCCGACCCAAACAGAATTTTTTGATCAAATTCCCTGTCAATCTGTCCACACAAAAGGACAATTTTCAGGGTTTGTTTAAAAGCAGAACAAAATGTGGAATTTGGTAACAAAAAGTAGGAACTACTGGCTATACATAAAAAGTCCAAGACAGTTGTTTAAAGAAGGAATAACTGAGAATCTGGAACATTTTTGCTTCCAAAAAGCACTATTGACATTCAGTAGACTTTTTGACCTCTTGTTTTCCATGGATGTCCATGAGGGCATACTTGTGGTCCTTTTCTACTAGAAAAGGTGAGTCATCAATGTACCTACAGCATATCCCACTAGCAAGATACAAGAAATTAATTCACTTTTTTTAGGACATTACAGCCCTTCAAACACTAGACATCAAATCCAACCACATACATGTAACAAAGCAGATGATACCTCCTGAAACACAGATGTAGGATCTAAACTGTACCTTCCATAGCACTGCTTTTACACTGATGCACTAGCTTAGAATCATTCCTCATTTGCTTTGAAATCTTACACAGCAAGATTTTCTCAGTCTTTCAAAATCACACAAAGTTAAGCCACCTAAACATAATACACAACACCAAGGGAGCGTTACAAATTCTTGTCCACTGAGAAGTGTTCAGGCACCTACAGCTGAGGGTCCTATGTGGATACACTTCCTTTTTACATTGTTCCTCTGGCTGCCTGCCTGAAGGTACCAATTGTCATGGTTAGTACAAATGTGAACCCTCTCTCCCTTCCCTCTGCAATGAAGATTTGAAGGAAAACCAAGCACTGATTTGCCCAGTCCAGCAGTATGAAAGCACAGAGTAAGGAGCACATTGAGAGGCTTGTTTTCTAGCTGAGAAGTGGTTTAATCCTCAGCATGGGCAAAGTGAGAATATTTTACTGACTGGTGCCAGGCACAGTACCTGCAGGGGATCTCAGGGACCCACCCAGGCTGCCTGGCCAGTTCCTTGAGAGGGCACTTCAGCTGCTGTGTGAGGCCTCCACCTCTCCCTGGGCTCAGGGGCAACCAGGTTAGATGGGGGAAACACCCTCACAGACCACAGGCAACATTCCAAGGTTGCAGCATGAAAAGTGGGTGTGCTGGTAGTGACAAAGGGAACATTTTCCTAGCATTTTCTTGCAACACATTTGAAGCCAACTGAAAACTGGTCAGCTGTCCCTGTCATACACTCATGCTGCCAGTGTAAGAAAGGCCACCGTGCTGTGCTAAGGTGACAGCTGGCCTCAAATACAGACAGACCTCCTTACCATGATGGAGTCATCAGGTTGGGCTCAAGGGCAAATTTGGTCTGCCTTTATGCTGAAGTGGAGCTACTTCCACAGAATCTAGCCTGAGGAAAAAAAGCAGTAAGTCCTATTTGAGAGGTTAAGTCATTAGGTGCTACTGTGAGAGTAACAACAAAGCACTTTGGAAAGACCAGGTACGAGGGAGACAAAGGTCCAGGCTCAGAGCACATGCCCCACATTAGCTTTAGGTGCTCAGAGTCTGAAAAGTGACAAAAATGGCATCTTCTCTCTCCCTCTGTGCATGTACTGGAGTCTCACATGCCCCAAGGGACATGCCAACCCTCCCACTGCTGTGGGGTCCTAAATGGACCCAAGAATTTACTGGCTCTCATCAAAATAGTCAGCCAGAACCACAGTAACCTCAGCATTCCATAATTTCATTTTCAAATTTCAAGGACAGTAGTTTTGCTGTTTAGAGAGAGCTGGACTTCATGTGTAAACATAAGGCTGTTTTCCTGAGAGCTCCTGACGCACCATTTTCAGACCTCCCACTGTGCAATTTTTAGTCACTTTTCAGAACAGAATTATGTTTCCATCTTTTGTATTTCAAAAAAGCTCTCAGTGCTTCAGCATGTAACAACCAAAGATAGAAAATTTGGGCAGGCTGCCTCATCATAAAGCAGCTCTCACACCCTCCTTGCCTACAAAGGGTATCCCAAGGATGACTACAAACCCCCAAGTCCAGAACATGCAGGAGGATGGGTTCCTGGTAAGGTTTTAGGCCTTTGGAGAACAATTAGAGTCTCCTGTTATTTCACTTTAGACTCAAAGTGGAATTGACTCAACTGAGAGGAAGATAAGCAGCATTAGTACTGGAGATGAACCTCAGCTTTACTATAGCAGCACATTTTAGCCTTCTTTTCACTGGCTCATTTTCTCAGCCAGCTCTTGAGGATGAAAATGTTGCTGTTCTTTGGTAGATATGGAAATCTGTCAGCAGAGTTCACCTGTCCTAACACTGACACATGAAAAATGGGAACATTTTCAGCCTCTTTGAAGCTCTGACCTGCTGCACATACCAAAACAGCAATGTATCTTTCTCCTTTTCTTCCCTTAGAAGGAAGCTGCTCTCTCCCTGCTCTGATCCACACACACACACAGAGGCACACACATTCACACACACACGCACTCACAAATGGCTGATCAGACAAGGAGAGGGTATGGCCAGAGTCTATGGAGGGATGTCCAAAAGCACATCATTATGAAATTCTTAGAATGTTTCTCCCAAAGAATATAAAGTTTTGCACATTCTGTACATATTGTTGGCTTCTTAGTTATAAAGTAAACACAGTAGCAAACTGTCCATAAAGTGTTGACTCGGTTTAAACGCAGCCCCTTCTTATTTTGTCTTGCTGAAAGTCCTCTTCCAGTCAGAAACACTCCAGTCATGTGGGCATTCGGTGTGTGACAGCAGAGGAAGGAAGAAAGAGGCACTTTTGATCGGCTGGTATTCCTGGAGTTCCCTTTTTCCTGCGGAGGTCTCTGTTCCTGACACTAGGTGGTAGTGTTAGCACGGAACCGCTGGGATAGGCACTTGGCAACAAGGCTCCAAGGCAGTGCCCGCCCTCTGCTATGTCATCAGGATTGGTTTCTGCCGCACTTCCAGGATATCTGGGCAGGGGAGACAAACAGAGAGAGACACAGCCGACTTAAGAGGCTCCTCACAGCAGCCACAACACCTGGAAGAACTGGAGATGTAATGGTGGACTGTGGCACAGCCCACCAGGAATCTAAAACGTGACAAGTCCATGGCTTTGCCTGTTAAAATCTGAATTAACCAGGATGCAACTGGGAGGAATTGAAAGATGAAGAACTGCAAATATATCTCATCGTGTGGAGAGGAGAGCTGATCCACTTTAATTTATACAGGGATGAAGCAAAATACATTATTCCCTGGCAATATTTTCCAGGGAAACAAGTGTAAGTGCCATTAACAAGAGATGCCAAGGGGTTTCCCATTATTGAAGGGACAAATACAACATCTCCAAGTCCATTAGGGAGACTTCTCTGGGTACAAAACATTCAACTCTTCCCTTCATGCTATAGCCCAAAGCCTACATTTCTGCACTCAAAAAGCTGCCATTAAAAAAAAAAACAAAAACATTCATCTTTTTGGCTCCTTAATTCCATATTGTCCAAGTGGGACAGAATATGAACCTTAAAACTTCTGTTGTAATCATGGGCATCTTTCTAAATATGCACAGTAAAACCAACATGGCAGGGCACTGAGCAGAAACATCTGGAATCTGGGCTGTGATGTCCTTTTCTAGGCTACACAAAGAACAAGGAACATGGAAAAAGGGAGCACACAATTAAAAGGCTGATCAAATGCCTCTGCACAAGGAAGATGACATGAGCAAAAAATAAACCCCAGCTCCAAATGGCTCCAGCCACACCTCTGTAAAGAATTAAACATAGTGGAGGGAGTCCAGTCAAGGGCCACAGAGGTGACTAAGGAACTGGATCTTGTGACATATGAGAAGGTGACAGAAGTGTGATTATCCAACATGGACAGAAGGGTCAGAGTGACATCTTATCAATAAACTCAAGACCTTTTAAAAAGTACTTTGATCACTATCACTGGGATTTTAATATCTTAGTACACGTTTCCTAACTACCCAAGAGAAAAGAGCACCTTTTTCACTTCACTCTGCCCCACATGTAATGCTCCTGCTACCTGGAAAGCACAAATACACTGATTAGAAAAAAGGCCTTGGAAACAGGGCCTATACAATATGTCAAGCTAAAATAAATGTAAGTAGGGAAAAACTGCAGATGAAAATTCTGCCTTACGGTCCAGAAATTTCATGCCCTATTTCTGTGCATCTCAATATACACTCTAAGTATGTTCAACAAATTAGGTCTCAGAAAGGATGTTCAAGCTCAAAGCCAGTATTTGAGCATAGAAGCATTTGTGCCATTTGAGCAGATATTAAATGCCAGCAAAACCAATACATCTTCTGTGAATTCCAAAACGCCTGTGGTGAGAGAGTGAGTAAGCTTGGTAACTCCAGCTAACTTGCTGTAAGACAATGATCATAAGGAATAATTACATTCTTTGCTGAAACATTGTTCAAAATCCATCCTGAATTACAAATGACCCATTTTTAACTGGAATCTAATTTCTTCTAAATTGAAATCAATTCCTATTTACAACAGCATTACAGAGAAATACTTGTACAAATACAAGTATTTGGTGGGCTGTGCACAATGGATGTCAAAATTACCTGTTAAAATTCGATGCAATGGCAAAGTGATGTATGTTAAGTGTGCATAGAGTAGAAAGTTTTCATCAGTTCTGTTCAGCTTGAGCCACGAGCCCACCAGCGAGCGTCCTGTTCCCGACAGGGAGCGCGAGCGCAGATTGGTCGCGTTGTGCAGATCTGCAAAGGCAGGGAGAGACAGCAAGCCTCAGGGGATTGTACTTCACTGGAACACTTCTGAAACTCAAAAAATAGAGGAAAGCCTCCCATTTGTTGCTTAGAGACAGATCACATGCAGGACAGTATCATAATTGCTTTTAAAAACCAGGCAGACCTTGCCTAGCAGAGTTCACCATTTACACTGAAGCTGAAAACAGCAGACAGGAGAGGGCTTGTGTTACCACACTGCACCGGCAGAACACTGACTCAGCCTTCCCTCATACACAAAATCATAGAATAACCCTAAAATTAAGTACTTACTCATGCAGAAATTCACCTGGGTAACAAAAAGGAAATGGTTTCTTTTGAAGAAAATTGCTATCTAGCAGACATGGGAGATTCAACACAAATACCTCAGTTTCCTGCACACCTCCATGCACACTCTGAGCCACACCCAGGACCCTTCAGCTAAGCCATTGTTCTCAGAATTAGTTTAGATGTCCCCAAGCAACTTTAAAAATAAAGATACTGAGTCCCCTGTAGGCCAGAGGAGTTTTTCCATAGGTGCAGGTCTCTCTCACAGCCAACATACTGCATTTTTGGAGTGTTTTTAAATCTTTGTTCTATTTCCTTGTAAAACGCAGTCCCACAGGGCTAAAATCAGATGTTGAAGTCAACAGATCGATTCTGAACCAGAGTGATCCAAGCTCTGGGACTGAAAGCAGATTGTGATCCAAAGAGGAAAATATGTGGTGGCAGCTGCTCTAGAAAGATGTGTAGCAATGTGGGAGGAAAAAAGCTGTGAAAATCTTTCCCTCCTTCCCTATACATGTGTATAGCCAAGCTGTCTATTACCTCTTCCCATGCATGACCACTATGCCAGGAGCTCTGTGCTGATCAAGGCAGAAGGATTTGACTCTGGAAGCAGCAATAAGCACAACTCTCCTGGTGTACCATGGTTGCACACAGCAAAGCCACTGAAGTGGGCCTTCATGGGCTGTTCCTGTTCACCACAGGTCTTTTTGCACCGGGGCAACTCTGCAGCATCACTGGCTGTACCAGGGACACTGCTGATCTTTACACAATCCACATCTTTTCCTCCACCCACAAAGCCAAGATGCACCCAAATCTCTGCTCCTATCTCTGCATCTTCTGCATCTGCACCTGGCTTTTTCATGCCAAAAGAAGAGTTTCACCAATCCAGCTCCCAAGGAGCACTGGTAGGACACTCAGGTTTCTGAAATTTGTAAGAAAATAGCAATTTTACAAAATTTAGCAATTCTTTTTACTATTTCTTGTAGAAAACTAATTTTTGAATAGATCAATCTTCCTTAGCATAAGCTGTTAAAATATTCCTCTTTTCATTTTTCAGATGAGGATCAATAAAGTCAAAACACTTAGAAACCATTTCTTGGTGTTTTATATGAATGCTATAAAATATCCAAAAAACCCAGAATTTGTTTACTTCAATAAATATATTAGAAGGACAAGGATATTAAAATAAAAGGAATGTCCATTATCATTAAAGACTCTGGGATCAGACCCCACAAGACAACCCTGAGCAGGCACTGCACAACCCATGAGGGCTTCCTCTGGAACACCTCAAACTCTGCTCTATCCTGGGCAACCTCCAAAATGAGGATACCAGAAACAGGACTACATGTGGGGAAAGCTGCCCTTCTCCCCACACTACCCTGTGCCTGGTAAAATATACTAAAACACATCTCATTTGAAATAACATATGTTCTGATTAGGCAGATTAGGGAAAAAGAGATGAGTGGAGGTTTTTTTGATAGAACCCTGAATTAGCTACCATCAGTTTAAGCTGCCACAGAATTTGCATTGAACATTGTCACTTCAGTTTGCTTTTTAAGGTGCAATTCTTTATTATCTATGGTGGTCCAGTGCTGCTGATAGGCAATTTCTTTGCTACTTTCTTTGCTACTTGTAATCTGGAAATTACCTTTGGGTTTATCTGTTAGAATGCTAACAAACAGATTTGTTGACTGAAATGTTTTTAAACACAAGGAAAGCAATTTGGACATGGATATTTTTGAGTTTCCTGCCTCACAAGACAGTGATGTGACTGGGATTTATATACTGTATTCTGAGTCAGGCTCCACCTTGCCAGTTGTTTCCTGCTGAGTAACTAGGATTTAAAGGAAGAGTTCCACAAGGCACTAAACTATTATGTAATGACAAACTCATTACATTTTCTCTATAAAGTTTAGAATTGATTCAAAGCCAGCTGAAGTAAATGCCTTTCACCAGTTTTAACCAACTCTGGATCAAATTAGAATTCAAAGAATGTGTTCCTCAGAACATGTCCAACCCTACTACACCTGGAGAAGTGTCCCCAGAGACTGTGGCATCTGGGAAAGGGAAGGATTTCAGCTGCTCCACTTTCTCTCAAATGGATCCGCACAAAATAAATTTTAATATATTCAGGACTTGTGGGCTCCAGCCTTCAAAGAGATGCTCAAGCCTCAAAAAAATCTCATTTTCAGAGAGGCAGTAGCTGTATGCAGAGCTCATGTTTTTTCCACCCTGCAAACCTTGAAAACCCTGCACTGGGATCCCTTTCCACAGCTCTGTACCCTCTCCAGACAGGTCTGTTTGGCTGTCAGTACTTCTCTCACCTGCACCATCATCATCTCTGAAGAACTCCTCACTGTCATTTGCTGAATGGGACTTTTTCATCTCAGCAATTCGATTTCGGGGCACTTTTCTCTTGAGGGACGGGGAGAAGAAGGAGGGGCGGTTGTTTCTCTCTGGGGTTGGTGGTGTGCTGAAAGAAGTAACCTGAAAAGGAAATAAAAGAAATGCTGGAGAAAGTCTTGGCTTTCCCTCCATGTGCCACAAGGCAATCATATGTGTAAAAATCAGAATGATAGCTGGTATCCAGCTCCATTTTATTGAAGTGGCCACAGAATTTAGACTGAACAATCACCTCAAGATCTTCATCAAGGGGAAAATATTTTGATATATCACAACCCTCAACTGTTACATGAAAAATGAAAAATCTCTCTTCAGATGCTCACTTTTAGCAAGGACCTACAGTCACGATGGCACAAAATTAGTAATTCAGACACTAAGAACATCAATCTTATTTTTGCATGTTGAAAAGCAGAAGACTTAATAAGAATATACTGTGTTGGACACACTCAAAATGTGCATCTTCATTTTTGGGCATGCACAAGGCAGCAGTTTCCCTACTGAGAAGGCTGTCCCATGGGATCCTTGTGGAAGGTCAATGTTTCTGGGGAGCAGGGCCACAAATTCCTGAGCCCAGCACACTGAGGCAGAAGTTAAGACAATGTTCTCATTTATGTGTGTCATGTTTCAATACTGGAAGGAGGAAGTGGAGCTGTGGTGGCTCAGAAGATTTGGTTGGTCCAAGTGATGACAGGAATGAAACTGTCTGTGGTGAAACTCAAGTTAGGGACAAAACTATGGAGACACCCTTCAGAGCAGTAGTTGCCACTGAGTAAATTACAATTAAAGCCAAGTACACCTGTTTTGGAGAGAACTGAAACATAGTGCTGATGTACTGGTTTTGACTATTTTAACAGTTTTAAAATTAAACTATTTTAATAGTTTCATTTAAAAGGGAAGAAAATAGGCATAACTACTTTGCTAATGGATGTGAGTATTTTTATCTTTTCCTTCTTTCTTCACACAGTTAATTTAACAATCCCATAACCTCCCTGAGCTGGCAAATTACACTGCTCATATCTGTCCAAATAAGTGCAGAGGGAGGTGACATGGAGTGATGATGGCAGCCAAACCAGGTTGAGTGCAGAAACACAACTCACTCCATGTTGTGCCTCTATCATTAATGCAAAAAAAATAAAAGAAGAGCATTGTAACACCCAACTGATCCTCTTCCCAGCACATTTCATTTCTAATTTCTGCTTGTCTCTGTATTTAATTTGGGAGTCATTTCATATCACACTGTAGGGGGAACCAGAAACAGACACATCAGCATTAAAACCATTAGCAAAAAGCAGTGGTAACACATTATCAAATCTAATTTTACATTTTCCAGCTGACACTGAAAGCCTTGGAGACAAAAAATCATGTTGTTCCTCCAGGCCTGATGTCTTCTGGCCATGTTTCTGGGGTACAGAGCAAGAACATCCAGTTAATGAGTTCTGTGCTGGTGGCTCATGTTGCCTTTTACTAAGTCAGAAACAAAAACCACACTGCCTGCATGGAGACCTCTAGAAGCTGTTCTGCAGATCTTCAAATGATACAGGTTAGCTGCACTACACAGAAAACCGTGCTAGACTCCCTCAGGTACTGACCCAGCTCAGGTTTGTGCAGTTATTTTGAAGACATGTCACCTAATCCCCATTAACCAGGTAAAATGTCTCAATGGAAAATAAGGCTCAGGATTGAATAAAGGCCAAATCAGCATCTGTGGTGATGGCATCTGATTCTGTTGGCATTTCACTGCACTTGCATTAAAATTAGGCATATGTATGACATATGATGCTGGATCTGGATCCATGATCTTTGCTTTAGCATTATACAGGCTTGGTGTTGGCAGCATTCCTCAGTGGCACAACCTAAAAGCACCACTTAATATGAGGTTTAGCAAGCAACCTACGTAATACACAAATTCCACGTTTCTAGATAAATCCCACTTTGCACAGAAGTGGAATCTACTTTTTTTCCTAGAAAACAGGCAGAATCATTGGTTTCCCTGGCATCAAGATTGCTGTTGTTTCAACAAAGCACTCCTCCACAAGTATGAATCATCCACTCATCTCTGTATTCAGCATTTGCTCAGGGGAAACTGTGTTAAAGAATCCATCTCACACACTGAGCACAACCAAATTACACACAGGCAAACCTAAGTGCAGAACCTGGATGAGAGTTAACCCCAGCTCCACCCTGCTGTGGCATTCACATTCCCTGGAAAAAATCCTTCACCCAGGGTTTTTCTCCTGGGAAGCTGAAAGGCAGCAAGAGAAGCCTCAGAGAAACGGAAAACAATTCTTATCTGATTTGTTTCTCCTGTGTTGTGCTTGTGTGGAATGTGTTTGGAGATTGTTTACCCACAGGTGATTGTTTCATTGGACTCTGGTGTGAGTTGTTTTCACTCATTGGCCAATTGGGGCCAAGCTGTGTTGGGACTCTGGAAAGAGTCACAAGTTTCATTATTATCTTTTTAGCTTTCTCTAAGTATCCTATCTGTATTCTTTAGTATAGTATAGTATTCTTTAATATGATATAGTATAATAAAGTAATGAATTAGCCTTCTGATAAGATGGAGTCAGATGCATCATTCTCTCCCCTCGTTGGTGGCCCTGCATTTACAATAGCCTGCCCTCCTGTCTTTGGAACAAAGCATGTTTATGCTTCACCTTAAGAGAGTGTTTCTGTTTGCTACTTACTCTCTCATGCACTGGGGAGTCTGGATTTGAATCTTCTTCTGTCCCATATGGTGAAGTGTCACCAGTGGAAACTCTGCTCACTGCCATCTCTGCGTGTCCTTTTCCCTGTGGTCCTTTCATTCGCACAAACTCCATGTTGTTGTATTTATAAAAACCAAAAGACATTCTCTGAGCCATCTTAGCTGCAACACTCACCTACAATGCATGGAGACAGGAGAGAAAAACATGTAATAACAGCTCTACCACTTGAAAATAACATCCTCTGAAAGCAGCTATCTAAGAAAAAGGCAGAACCATAGTGAATAATAATTCCTAAGAAACATTTTAAGCCACAATCTGAAGCAATCTCCAAAAAGAAAGTAATTTTACAGAGACAAAAACAGGTTCTGAGAAGAAACAACTCCTTCAGCCACCCAAAAAGCATAGTAAGCAGTGGCACAATGAGAGAAAAGGTTTTTATTCAGGTCCACACACTGTGGCACATGAGAGCACAGGCGTGCGTGCTCAACTCAATGCAGCCTGTGCTGGGGCAATCATTTGAGTCCAAAAAGCAATAGACAGACACACAAGATTCCTCAAACCAGCAAGGCACACCCCATAACTGGATCACTTCTTTGTCCCAAGTAATTTCTGGCATTTTTATGTTCCCACTGTCTTGGCCAAAAAATAAGGAACCAGCCCCATGCACAACTAAGCTGCACTGCATGGCTCACCAGGACACCCTGACAGCTTTAAATCCCTTCAACAGATACAGGGGCTCAATTTCCAGTCAGCACAACTGAACTGAAAATTGAACTGAGAACTGAAAAAAGGAACAGGCCAATAAGAAAACAGTCAAGGTTTTGCTAGTGAAAATGATGCCTTAAGTTTTCAGTTTTTATCCATAAATTTAAGTGATTTATTGCAATTTTCATTAGTTATGAAAAGGCCAAGACGCTCATCAGTTTGCATTGTAGTGAGAATTACAGAATCCTAGAATAATTTAGGTTAGAAACAACCTTTAAGGTCATTAAGTCCAGTCATCACTGCCAAGCCCACCACTAAATCATGTCCTTAAGTGTCACATCTACACATCTGTCAAATATCTCAGGGGCTGAGACTCCCCCACTTCCCTGGACAGCCTGTTCCAGTGTTTGACAACTGTTCCAGTAAAGGAATTTTTCCTAGTGTTCAATGTAAACATTCCCTGAAACAACTGATATCAAATAATCTTCAAAAGCATAGAGATTACTCCTGTTCTGTGAAAAAATGTAAAATTTCAAGTTTTGCCTCTGGCATGATGAAATATTTGAAGAGTTAACAATTTGACTTCATCTAACAAAATAACATCAAGTAGCTGTGTGGTCAATCAGGACATTCCTAGGCTATGGGGTGACTTTACCACATCAAATCTTATCTTTCCACTGCAGGGCTTTCTTGTTATGTTGTCTTCAGTGATTCTGCATTCCCACTTATTTTAATAACCCAGCTGCTGACGGTGTAAGGCCACAAGATAATGAAACAACTTTTGTTCCATGTTCTCTCACAAACCTGCTGGAAATGTGTAATGGCTCACATTTAAAACAGGGAGATGGGAAATTATTCAGGAACTCTCCTGACAAGGGTAGAAACAAAGAGAGATTTAGAGACACAGTAGATATTGTGAGAATTTCTTTTGTTTGTCTCTAAAAACCTCTAAGGATTGTCTTCATAATAAACCATTTGAGAAGTTTATTGGCTCTTGATTTTGGCACTAAGTACTGAATTTGAAGGTGAAAGTGCTGGTATTTCATGTCTCTGTAGAAAGCAAAGAAAGCTTCTCTCAGTGGCAATGAGGCTACAGGGGTTTTTTGAATACAGCCAAGTGCAAAATACAATGAAGAAAAACACATTTTATCACAAGGTAGTTACCAGAGTTTAAAATCTCCCATGAAATCATACTTTCTCTAAACACAGAAATATCTATGACTTTTCAAGAAAATGAAGGGGCTCCAAGAACTCTTGTTCAGTCCACTCCTGCGTCACACTTTTGTTTATGTATCCCTCCCTTCCCTCTTCCTGGCAAACAGCAGAGGAATATTCCCAGTCTGAATACTCAGTTATCTGAGGCAAAATCAGCAGCTTTCAGCTAACTTGCAAAGCCAAAAAAGACAGACTGTGATATAGCTGATCTAACAGGACAAAAAGCTGACAGCCACAAAGAAAATCTAGTCAGAGCACCACTGCTGCAAAGGACATTGTCTTTGAGAAGCTCCTTACCCTGTTGTCATAGACCTTCTTGAGTGCTTCATAGCGGATGGACCCCTGGAAAATCACCCCTTGGAAGGTGTTGCTTTTATCACTGGCCACCAGCTCCACGCAGACCATTTCTCCTTCTCCCACAGTCATGTCACTGAAAACCTGCCAAAGATGCAAGATGAAACACTTTGATGCAAAGCTGTTCAAATCAAAATACCTTCAGATTCCCACGGCTGTCCTGATGCTCAAGGAAGTTTCAATACAAATTGAAAAGGAGCAGAATGCTCCACCCCAGCCTTTCAAACAGACTCCAGGCAGTGCACACAGCAAATCACTTGTTGAGATGAGCAGCTCTCACATCCACCTGTCATGCTTTAGCCCATCATCAACACCAATGCCAAAATCCAGCTTTAAGATCAGATTTCAAACATTAAAGGGAGAAGAAGGTTAAATAAAAATAAAATAAGATGTAGCAGAAAACTCTCAACTGGCAAAAAACATTTGATCAAAAGGTACAAGACAACAGCTAATCAGGACATAAAACATAGGATAAAACTTTGCTGCTGCAACAAGGAACTCACCTCCTCAAAACTGTCAATCATGAAGAATATATTGGGGTAGCTGATCTTTGACTCCTCTCCTTTACTGTCCATTGGGTGCTTGCTCGGAGAGGCAAACACTTGCTGAGAAAGATGCAAAAGGAAATGTCACTTTTCAGTTAAATGTGCTTGGGAACAGACACATCAAACACAAGGCAAGTAATTACAAAAGTATTTTACAAGGCAAGTAATTACCTCAGGCTGGCACTGCTCACTTACACTAGAGATGCTGGGCATCCTGCAAGCACGGCTGAGCTGGTTTCTGACTAAAGCCAGATTTGCGATAGTGGCACGCGAGAAATCCTTTCACATACAAGTAATTAAAAACTCATTCCTTCAGAGTAAATGTCCCTGCTCCTGACCTCTCACCATACTACAGTAGACCGTGGTACTTTTTCATCATCACTTTCAGGTGCCTTTAAGTTGCTGCAATGCACTGCAAAGTAAAATGCCACAGTGCAATAAAGTCACCATGAAGCAGCTGACCCAACACCTTTACTTTAATCTGTTGTTGTTTACTTAATACCACGCTAAGATCAACCTCCCTCAGTCAGGGTAGTGTGGCTGTTCTAGGGTGATTCATAATGTTATTTTATTCCACATCTATCTGCACCCTAAACCTGCTACTGTATCTTTCTGACCCTACAGCTGCAGGCCTTGTGTGTGGGATGCTATTATGGGCATTTTTGAAATCGGTGTGGAGGCAGGTTCCAGGCTCTTGGCTGTGTAATAGTCACTTTACAGGCTACTTGGTCTTGGTTCAGGCAAACAATTTCCTTCTTGTTTTTCATTCTGCCTTCATTTTCGTTTGCTTTTTTTCCTTGTCTAGGGGAGACTGCAGTTAGCAATACTGGGCTGTCTGTGGGCAAATTCCACAAGTGCCCACCTGTAGCAGCCATCACTCCATTCCCAGCCATGCCAGGAGAGAAGACTATGGAGAATCTCTTTGTGGCAGCTTTAGGTTTGCAACTGTAGCTACTTATAGAAATTGCACTTTGCAACAAGAAACTATTTGAAGTGAACTTTGAGAACTCTCCCTGCAGTGACAAAAAAAAGTGAGTGAGTTCAGGGCCCAGGCCATCCTGTGCCATGCCTGGAAAGAAGACTACGGAGAATCTAATCTCTCTCTTTGTGGCAGCTTTAGGTTTGCAACTGTAGCTACTTGTAGAAATTGCATTTTGCAACTAGAAAATATTCCAAGTGAACTTTGAGAACTCTCCCTGTACTGACAAAACAAGCCAGTAAGTTTGGAGGGCCAGGCCATACTGCGCCATGCCAAGAGAGAAGACTATGGAGAATCTCTCCTTTCAGTGGCAGCTTTGGGTTTGCAACTGTAGCTACTTGTAGAAATTGCATTTTGCAACAAGAAACTATTTAAAGTGAACTTTGAGAACTCTCCCTGCAGTGCCAAAAAAAGCCAGCGAGTTCAGGGGACCCGGCCATGCTGTGCCAGTGCCCACAGGCTGCTCCTTTCCCTCACCCACAGCTGGGTGCAGAGCCCACAAGCAGCAGGAGGAAAGCAGGGGTTGTCACTGTCAAAAATAGGTTAGAAACTGTTGTAAAATAGTTAATAATTGTTAAGCATGTGCTGTTAAAAAGTTTGGTTGTTATATTGTGAAATGGTAGTTATAAGAAACTTGGTATTCAACATACTGTATTGCACTTAAGTAAAGTGCACCACCCCATCAAGGAAAAATGAGCCAGCCTGGACAGAACTGTGAAGGACCAATCAAGCACATTAAACCTTCATGCAAATGAAGGATCCCAACAGAAACCAATCCAAAGGAACAAAAAACAGGATAAAAAGGGAGCATCTGAGTCAGTGAGACTGTGGAACATCAGGAACATCCCTGCTCAAGAAAGGAAGAAGATGCAGCCCCGGCTCTGCAGCATCCTCGCCCGTCAGGAACGCTCCTGCTTGACCCACAGGCCCTCCAAGCTTTAGGCCTTCTAATAAATGTTGAAGTCTCTTTAGTTCTGGAAGCGTGTTCCTGTTTATAACCCCACCATCTTGTCACTTTATTCCTGGGACACACGGTCACCTGGGAGGCGCCATCTTGGAAGGCAACAGTGTGATGCCATCTTCCCTTGGCCACATGGCTGCCTCCTGCAGGCACCATTTTGGGAACAGGCGTTTCTGGCATTTTGGGGCTCTCTTTGCTCCCACCGGGTTTTGAGTTATAGCAGTTTGGTATCTAGCAGTTATTTACTTCTTCCTTCTAACTGTTGGTGTCTGTTTCATAATAAAATGCTATTTTTTCACTTAGTATTTAATTCCTTATTGGGGGAAAGGTCTAGGTTGGAACCAAGGAGGAGTTTGCTCATTTCAGAGTGCCCACCTCTTTTTAGACTATCTCAAACTGTTGGAAATGATACCAAGTTTAAATTTTTTTAATATAACTTTAGTCAGGGGTTTTGTTCACCTTTGCCCTGGGGTGAGGGGGAAGAGAATTGAATTCAGGGGACTCCATCACTCAAGGCCTGATGAGCCTAACATCTCAACAGAGTGGGAAGATACACAAAAGATAACCATTAACCAACAGCAACTCCAAACATCACCCCTGGCAGGAGACACCTGGTCTGGGAAAAGAGAGATATAAGAGAATGAAGAATGAGAACCTAATTAACATCTAAGGTGAAGAGATTGATAACCAATAGGGAACTAAATACTATGAATTGTGTAATGTGTAACCAATGAACATTGAACTAATTAATTTCTATGGGTTTTGACTATATAAATATGTGAAAAATCAAGTAAAAATTATGTGTGATGGAATGATTTTCTCTGCACAATCCAGGCAATGTGGGTGAAATGATTTCTGTTGCACATCCTGGCCAGAATCAAGTAATACTTTGATTCTCTAACACTAAAAAGGTTTTCAAAGAGTCTTTGCTTTTCCCACAGTTTTGGTGACAAAACCAAGACAATGGCTCACTTGGTTTCTCATCTGCATCTTGTGTTACTATTTCCTTCCCTATCACTATGCTTCCTCTTGCACGTTTCTCCCTCCCAAGGAGTTCCTGAACTCCTTTAGTGACTTTGTTTAAACAGATAAAGGCTTTAGGTTTTATCATTCCAAAAAGATTAATGAGTGGGTAAGGAGGGAGAAGGAATTCATACCAAGCAGATTTCTTTGCTTCCACATTTGTTCACAAACAAAGCCCTGAATTAAAGAAACCTGTCAAATCTTAGCACACTGTGAACATGCCAATAGCTATGGATCTGACCAGGCTGTCAAGTTCTTAACATACTTGCTACAAACCATTCAACACAAAACATAATTAAGGATATTAGATAGTTATGAGAGGGTTGCTTTTCCTTATTTGCACTTATGCAGCCTTTATGCATATTGAATTTAATTAAAAAGAAAGGTTTAAGACCAGAAACATCATTAGAAAGCAATCAGACTCCTCAAAAATGCTACCTGCACCAATGCCTGAAACAAGGACATTTTCCAGGCATCCTTGCTCTCACATCAGCCAATGAACAAAACACCCTCCCAAATTCATCTCCAGTCAGGCACACCTGAGGAAAATACAGTTTGTGGAGATCTTATTGTTAAGCCAACAGTTTGCAAAATAAAGTCAGCCTTTTTCATACTGGCTTCATGCCACAGGCACTCACTTGTGTGAGCAGAGTAAATTTGTCATAGGTCTCAAGTAGGACAGCAAATCTTAGGCCACCAACATCTGGCTGCATATGGGCGGGAGAAACATTTTGTAAAGCAAGAACCATCAGAGCAGAAATGCAGATCCAAACCAGCTGGATTTTCTTTATCCAAAACCAACAGCCTCAATAGTGGATGTGACAATGAAATGCCCAACTGCAAACATGCTTTCACAGCATATGGAATTGCCTTTGCTTCTCTATATGTCAACACAGTGATGTTGAAATGTTTCTGGTATGTACTGGTAAGTTTATGTGGAAAAGGGAAGACAACAATTCCTAAGCAGTCCCACAATAGGAGAGTCCAGAAAGGAGGAACAAAAAACTTCCTCTTCATTCTAAATAATGCTTACATGCAATAAGGACATATCCCTCATCTTCTCCTTTCTAGTTTTCAAATCTGCAAATAATATTTACAGATTTTTCTCAAAAACATTTGCAGAAGTTCACTTCTGGTGAAATTTGGACTAGCCAACAGAGAAAAAAGCAATGAGAAATAACAGGCTTAAATCAGCAGTGCAAAGTGGCATCTCAAGAGCCTCTAAAGAAAAAAAATTATGTGTAATCAATGTAAATCACAGAGACAATAATCAGCTTTGCTAGTTCTGTTTGTAGGCAAAGCAAAAGTTCTTTTAAAGTGGTTAAACATAATTAAAAACCAAAGAGCAATGGATTATTTAAGTAAAGCCACACAAGCAGCTGCATGAACTAAGGGAATGGAAAGCCTGGGAGAAACAGCCATTTAAATGCAACAGGAGCCTTTTAAAAGAAGAATTTTTGCTAGCTAGCAGAACTTGTTGCAAGGTCTACATTGCAAATTGAAATTGAGTGGGGAAGCCTCAGGTTTCTTGTTCTTATCCCCTTTTTCCTTGTTATTCAGTCTCTTCCACTATGGATTAACAGCACACAAAAGATAAAAGCCTATGGAAGGAATGAGCAGTTTAAGAGACTAAAAATCTTGTAAAATAATAAAAAAACCAAACTGGTAATCAGTAAATTGCCTGCCATTTAGCAGCTCTACATTAGAAACTTACCCCGAAGGCTCCTCATATTCCAGATCTCATACAATTTCAGATTTAGTCTCAGACTGGGGAACAGTTGGGCATCATATTCCTTCCTCCCCCTGGCACTTTCCCTCTCTCCCCTAAATCCAGCAAGCAAAGATACATAGCCTGAAGCATGCAGGGGTCTTCACAATCCTTTGAGAGAGGTTATAAAGGACACTTAGATCTCAAATCTAGATAACTGGCAAGAAATATCACTATACAAAGACTTGAGCTGCTTCAGGAGGATGAATCTGTCAGACCACAGCCTGAGTACCACTGCCCCAGTTTTGGAGCAGTTTTCAGGATTAGGTAATACTGGATACCCACCTCTGATCCAAAGCAAGAAAAGGGGAAGCTCACCTGAGATTTCTTTTTGTGAATATGAATATCTCCTCCATCGGAGCGTGTGCACACAGCACAGGTCACCACATAATCCAGCTGGAACAGGGTACCAGGCAGAGAAATTAACATTTAGAGTTGGGAAGCCAAAACATTCATGTGCATGAAGCAGAACACATTCTGATTCACTTTTTAGCTGTCTGTCTAAAAAGTAAGATATTTTGGTGCTGCCATTTTCTTTACTCTCTTTACTATACTGAATCACCTACAATTTTTTATTATTTTCATAATAAAATGTTATTTTTTCCACTTAAACCTATTAGTATTTAATTCCTTATTTAGGGAAAGGAATTGGTTGGAACGAAGGGGTGGGGGAAAGGAATTGATTGGAACCAAGGGGTTTGGAACCAATTGGTTGGAACCTGTGTTTGTTCATTAACTCAGTGACACCTACATCTCTTGTACAGCTGCTTGTTGAAATGCTCAGCTGATGGGTAAGGAAAAGTCCTGCCAATATTGTTTATCACAAGCTTAATTTCAGCTGGGGGAATAAGCAGCACACACATCCCCACCCCCACAAACCCCTAAGCACAATTTAGAATAGAAATGGAAAAGATTTCCTCCTTTTGAACAGGAAAAAGACACTAATGAACAGCAGTGACACGTCAGAGGTCAGAAAGCACTAGCACAGCCTTCCAAACAACCTGAAAAAACTTATAAAGAGCAATTGCAATAGCTCTGACAGCAGTACCCAGCTGTAGTAACATCTCTGTATTCTGACTCTGGCAAATGTATCCTGGGTTTATTGAGCATCAAATAAAGGCAAAATCTGCTCTCTGCAGAGTTCTGCAAGGAGACTTCTGGGAGGAAGGAGAGAGAATGAAAACAATTTATTTTCAAGGATGTGTGCCTGAGCCAACAGTTTCCCATTCTGAGATCATAATGAGCAAAACCTTTAAGGGATCTCAAATGATTACAGTCATATTCAGCTTTCCTAAGCCATAATGTAACACACACAATAACCAAACAACCTATAAGTCAATTAAAGAAATAATTAGTTCTAGCTTCATGTTCCTACCCCTAAATATTTTATCAAAGTTATGTTGTGAAGAGCAGTATAACTTATGACACTGCATTTGCATTCTTCTCTCTAAGCTGCACCAGTGAACTCTAATGGAAATGCTGCTTATCTAAGTCTCATTCATTCTCAAAAAACATTAAACTGGATGAAGCCTTCCTTTTGCAAAACATTGTTACAGAGTATAAAACTCAGCCTAGCTTCAGTGCATACAGTTAGAAAGCTATTAGGACTCTTGGAAAATAATGAACATCTCAGTTTAATCTCATTTAGATTCTGAAAGGCCAAACTGCATAGTGAAATTAGATAAGCATCCCTGTTACCTTCTGCAGGATGAGGTTCAAGTAGACACTCTCTTCCCAGTCAATGTCAGGGTCTCCCAGGCCAGGAAGCTTCTTAGAATCTCTCCTATAAACTTCAACTTCAACCTGCTAAGAAAATACCACATCTCTTTGAAAACTATTACTCAGAGGTACCTATTTCCAAACATCAAACTGGAATCAGAAGCTGTACATCATGTAGCTTCCTAGTTTTCTGTCAGGATCAGGTTTTGCTGATGATGCAAGGCCTTGTGTGGAAATGTACTGGGGAAATATTTTTTAGAAGGTTTGTAGACATAGTTCTTCTTTTGGTTTGTTTTTAGTTCTTCCAAGGTTCCCATCCATGATTTTTTATTAGCAACAGAATTACACAAACCAATTACAGTTTCTGCAAAAAAACTAAAGATGTGAGCAGATGAAGGAAACAATCTTATTTAGATTAATCTCCAAAGAAAGGTAGTATTTGCAGTTCTGTGCCTAAAAGCACAGAAACATGACAAGAACAAAATTCCGGAAATACCTTGTGAAACAACAGCCATCCTGTCTCTGAAGGAAAGAAGGGGTGAGAAAACAGAGCGAAGGCAGGACTGAGCAATGCCAGGGTAAAACCCCAGCTCTAAGTAACACCAGGGAAAGCAAAATCAAGTGCACAGCAGACACCTTTTCAGTCTCTCCTGCCTCTGTATCCATGGAGCCTTTATTTAAAGCCAAGAAGCAGTTAATCACCTCATAACACTGAAGTTCAAACCTCCCTCTGCAGAAGTCAGCCACTAATTCTTTCTGCTGGTGAAATTCACTCACACATGAACAACTTCTCCCCAGCAATTACAATGCCAGTGCTCAACAACTCTTTCATGGAATGCCTTGCAAGTCTATCACAGATACTAACAGGAAAAAGGCTTTTTTAAACCATTTTTACCCTGTGCACTAATTCAGGGTAGGATTCCTTGGCGTACAACCTGTGGGTCAGGGCAGAGTGGATCTCCATGATTCACAGCTCTCCATGGACTGGAGAACATGCTGGATTTCAAACAGCTGAGTTTGAAAAGAACAAAAGAAGACAAAACTGCCCCAGCCAGGCATCCAGGAGACACTGGGCCTTTTCCAGGTCTGCTGCTGACTCACCTGGCCATGCCTTATCTCTGTGCTTTGTGCTTATCTTTGTGTTTACCTGGCTCTACATCAGACATGCACTCCTGCAAGCATGAAAATAGAAATAACTATGTAAATACTAACTATTTATTCCCAGTGAAATCCAAAATCCTTGCTCATTGAAATCAGCAACCCTTCTGGAGCTGAAATCCACGATGCCACCTTTGTATCAAGTATTCAAGGGTTCCTGAGCTATAGCTGTAAAGGAGAGGGACCTCAGCCAGGCTCACCTCCCACATGCCATGGATATTTTACCAAGTTACTTCCTCAACAACCCCAGTTAAATGATCTTTGGCTGGACAATACCTGGGAAAATACCTTGCTTTGAGAACTCCTTCCAATGATTAATCATCCTCTTGGCTCCAAGTGTGCAACTTCACTTAATTCAGCTGCTTTTCTTTTGCCAGCCTCTGGATCTTGTCCTACCAATTTATGTATTTATATATATATGAAGATCTTGAATATTCAATTTTGGGTTTTTTGGTTTCATGCTTGGGCTTTTAGAGTTTTTTCTGTCATGCGTTAATCTTCGCTAATCTTTTAAATAAAGCAGACAAAATACTTTTAGGACACCTCTGAGCTTCTTATTAGGCACCACCTCAGAATTTGTGCTCCTTTGCCCCTCACCTCCAGACATGGAGACACTGGTCACTCCTCCATACATGTCAACAGCATGATGCAATTAGGAAAAAAGGCTATCTCAGGAGCTGCCTGGACCCTTTGGCACAGGAAAAAAGCATCTTCTCACACTGAGAAACCCCAACAAACAGCATGTCTAATATCCCAGGACTTGTGATTGCTGTGTTTTAACAAGCTGGGAAGCCCCAGACGTGCAGAACCCCATTTGGTACCCAGCAGTGCTGCAGAGCAGATACTCAACAGGACACAGGCTGGGCTGGCCAGTTGGCCATCAAAACCCATCTGCTCACGGCATCTGTTCTCCAGTGACATCCCTAAATGCTAAATGGGAAGGAAATCAAAGGAGCCTGCTATTTTCTGGAGCCTGCAGAGAAGCCCTGTGGGAAGGGTGCACTCCCAGTCCTGTCTCACAGGGAAGCTGATGTTACAAGATCCACTGGAATATTTATATCCAAGACAATATTTCAAAGGGGACAACTGCATTCAACAATGCAACAATGTCCTAAAATGAAAAAGAAAGATTCTTTCAGATGTTATATGGAGAAGCTTTCTTAGGATTATGGCTACTGACATTTTCACTGGTGGTAACAGCAGAGCACAGTGTAAAGAATGGCCTCCAAGACAAAATTCCTATTCCCTTTTTCTGGACACTATCAATTATTCAGAAGTTGCACCTGATCCTCCTGGAACACACTCTGGAGCCCACATAAAAGCAGGATAATGCCCAGTAGCTATGGCAACTCGACACCCACCATAGCTATAAAGCTGAAACAAAGCCCACTGCAATAAAGCAACTGCAAACTGTGCAAGAGCAAAGTTCAGCTGCAGAAAAACCACCCATTTTGAAAAATTTACTTCTGTGTCAATTGCTTGGTTTCTGTGCCCACAACCCCTCTGTACAACCAAATGATCACAAACTTTGGGAACTTTTCCTTGTGCTAGTGTCTTGGTTTAGAGAAAAGTTTAGGAGAAGAACACTCTGGAATGAGTGTTTCCACTAACAGAAAAGGGTTCCAACAATCCTTTTCTCCTAGCAAGAGATTAACACTAGTGGATGAAAGGGAAAAAAACCAATTTGCTATTGACAAACAGAGTGCCAATATGGGATGGGAAAACAGCTTCAATTCAATTGCATATTAATTTCAACACTGAACCCAGACTTTCACATACCTCTAAATAGGCAAGTTGACCAGCCTGTAACCCACAGATCAAATCCACTAAGTGTTCTGATAAACCAGTGGCTTCATGAGGCTTTTGGGGAGCTCCAAGCAGACACTTTTAGCTTTTCCAGGATGCAAGCCCAGCCTAGCAGTGCCCTTCTGTCCCTCAAATCCCCAGTGACTCAGACAGATATGATGCATTTCTGATACTGAATTATTCAGCACATTTCATCAGATAGGAAAACTGGGTCTGGGCTTCTTCCCTTCCCAGTGAAGTTGCTCTCTGTAGCAGAGAACAGAGCATCTTCTTGGCTGCCAATTTCAGTGCCATTCATATTAAAATCACATCTGATTCTCGCTTTCTTGTCACCCTATTTGACTGCTTAAGAAGAGTTCTTCAGAGACTGGAAGCAATAGAAAGCAATTCATTAAAAATGCCCTTGCAGCCCACACTCCTTCCTAAGTCTGGAATTTTGTGACTGTGATACTGTGAAAGTATTTCAGCTGTACTTGCTCACACATTTAGACAATCAAAGTAGCAGAAGAAAGCACAGGGATTTCTGGCAAGGGGAACTGCAAAAGAAAGGTCTTTACACTGCAGTTGAGCTCCTTACAAATAAAAAATCAGAGTATCAATCTGATAATGCCAGGGTTTCTTTTTCACGTTTCAAAATGAAAGCACTGCGTGGATGTTGAACTCTGTAGGAGCCAGTCCTCCTGCTCACTGCAACACCTCTGCAAGTTCAGCACAATGGAAGAGCTCAGGCACAACAGCTGATTCTGTATCAACTTGGAAGTGTGGGAATAATTGCTCCCTCATACTACCCAGGGACAAGGAGAAAACCTTTTCAAGAAAAAAGATTCAATTTTTGGCCATTTGTTTTTCTCTTCAGCATTTGGGTGGTGCAGGGGACTGTCATGAAGTACAGCACAGAGCTCTTCTGAAGACATCCTGTTTGCTTGCAGTGCTGGAAAAAACCTTAACACTGGAACAGAGCTAGCAATGAAAGATTCTTAAAACTTGTATCTTTATTAGATGCTGAGTTCAGGCTGTTGAATCTTCCAGGCAGGCAGGCAGTGACGTACTGATTCAGTTACGAAAATCCTGTGGTTTTCTGTGCCAGTCATGTGCCTGAAGTAATTTGAGTTTGGAAACTGCCTGGTCACACCACAAGCACTATTTGTTGAGTCACAGGTCCAGATACACAAACATGTAACCCATGGCTCTGTTCAGTTCTGTCTCTGAAGCTGCAGTTTCAACATCAATTGCTTGAGCTTTTTGGAGACTTAACAGGCCTAATGACTATCCTGTGCATTTGGCAGCAACTCCACTCCTCCACATTCATAGGATGCTGAAGAAAATAGGAACTACTCCAATATCCAGGCAAGCACAGAACATATGCCCAGGGTATCTTACATTTACCTTTTTTATTGCTTTGCCCTATAGATGTAACACCTTTTCAGGTGACAAGGCACAATGAAAAGCAGAATACAACTTGCTGGTCTGTCTCTGAAGTTTTATCTTTCTTTCCTGTGTAACACTGTATACTTGCATCTTTTGGATTCCTAGGAGAAAGTAAAGCTGCTCTCTACAGAAAGATCAGAGATACTCAATCTTGACCTAACAGCATTTTAAAATCATAATCCTAAGTCCAACCATGTTAACCTTTCAAACCTGCAGTGTCCACGACCCTTTGGAAGTGACGATCAGGGCTTACATCTTCCAATAGGTCACACCAGCTGGCATGAGAGGCAGCAGCAAAGCTGTTTTTGAGTCTTGACTTTATATAAAGTGACAAGTCAAAGAGATTCCACTTTACAAAACCCTGCCAAATTCCTTAACCTTGTGAAAAGCTACACTACACAGTGCCTTGGTCTGCAAAGAACCTGACACAAGACACCAAGAGAAGATGCATCTTCAAAACTTGGCAATAAAAACTGCAAGAGTGTTACTGTGACATGCCAAGGCAAGACAGAATTAAATGTACACAGGAGCCTGTGTAGTGGATATAGCCCAGAATTCAATATGGAAGTTCTGCCCTAGCATTCATATATTAGGAGCTTAATTGCTGTTTCACCCATCTATGCTCAGTTTAGAAATTGGTGGGAAGGAAAAGAGAAGCAAATGGAAAGTCACTTAGTCCAGGCAGAGTACAAAGCAGATAGTTTAAAAGGCCTTTTAAAATAAAATTTATGATGGTAGAGAAGTTTACCACCAGCACCTACTGGATACACCAAATGGTAAAATTTCTTACTTCATGCTGTTGTGACTCATCCAAAGCCCTTCTCATCCAGTTTTAAAACTGAGCAGAACATCTAATCTCAATCCTATCAGGTTTTTTCTGCTTATTCTTTGTTACACTTCAATTTAAAACCAGATGTTATTGCCAACACTCTTCCAGCTCCAGTAAGCACAGAAAAACCCAAACTCACCAGCAGGAGCTACTTTTAATCCAACAGTTCAGGCACCAAAGCCTTAGAACCACTGGATTCATTGACACTTGTTTCCCACTGACACACACCATCACACCAGGGCATGGAAATGACACAAACAAACACCACCATTGTCAGCGTTCAGACAAACAGCATGTCCCCACTCAGACCCTTTTGTTGTTGTCAGCAGCATGATGATTGCTATCCTCAAAACTGCACAAATCTTATTTTCATGAACATAAACTAATGTTCTGGGCTGACATGGCACCGAGTCACCTCTGCCAGCATTCTGCAGCCAACACCTGCAGCAGCCAGCTAAGCACAGAGCACATAGGTAGTAGTGTTTGTGGAAGAACTAAAATGACCTTGCTTCACTGTACACCCAGACTACAGAGTCATCCTCAATGTGGTCCATGAAGGAATCATCACCAGACCATTTGACTCAGCCTGGCATAAAGCAGGAGCCAACAGCACAGCTCCAGTTGTGGTCCTAAATGTCCCCAAACAACTCTGAACTCTCCCTTTCATTTGCCTTTTCAGTCTACCCCTGGAAAGCTAAATGAGAGTACAGCTTGGTGGGCAGCAGGGAGGTTTACACTTCTATCCAGCTCCTACAGACACCAGTCTCCATCTCCCTCCCCTTTAACAGTATCACTTTGGCATCATTTTTCAAGGAAGAATGTCCAAAACTACAAAGTAAATTAAAAACCATGTAATCATAATTAGATGTGTAGGAGTAGTTGTTTGGTGTCTCACTGCACTGGGCAGGCTCAAAAATCAGATAAAAGAGGAGTTAGAACTACAAAGCAGTCAAGTGAAATCTAACAGGAGGACAGCTGAACAAGTACCAATGAATCACCAACTGTGAAGTTTCACAAAGCAATTGAAGCACTTCAAAGTCACAGGAAAGGTTCAATTCCCAGAAGCCATGGAAAATAGAGCCAGCCACAGAAGAGTTACAAAATGCTATGAGTGCTATAAAAGCCCACTCCCCATCCCCGTTGTTACCCCACATAATTCACTAACACTGATTTTGTGGTAACCACCACTTATGCAACCTCCTCCCAAATAAAAATTATTTATAGTGCTTTTAAAAAGTTTAAATAATGCTCTGAGAGCAAATACAAGGGTTTATATCACTATCACCTATCCACAAGAGCTTCAGACACTTTAAGCTAATGAATCAGTTAAACAGATTGATCATTGAATGGATTTAAGTAACTAGGCTGTCTCTGAGATTCACTTTCCTTGTTGAGAAGGACAAGAGGTTAAACAGCCCATACTTTTATCAGGCTGAAAAAAGCCATAATATCACTTGATGTGAAACAGAGATGCTTTTATAGTCACGGAACAAACAATCAGGATGGAAGTTTCCCCCGTAAGTCGTAAACTCCAAATACACAAGCTGAAGACTAAACCACTCATCTGATAGACAAAGAACCATATTTTTCCATCTTCTCATTAGTGGTTGTTATGGTGGAAGTTGGAGGGCCAGGGAGAAGAGAGAACATAAGTCGGTCCATTTTCTGTATCTCCATCAAAAGTGTGGGAAAACCTTCTGGAATCTTTTTCTCAAGGGAGCTGACAACTGTGGCTCTTTAAACCAGCACACATGAACCCAGAGAACTCTTGTGCAGCTGGTCACAAACACTTTTACAGACACCTTGCACAAACACCTGTGATTCAACAACAGTGTCAATTATTTACATGTGTCAGGAAATCACTCCCAGTCTTTTCCTTCTCTTTTTACCTTCCTACAGCCACCAACCTTAATTCTCAGTAAAACCATCCTACCTCATGCTTCTGTTTCCCCCACCTAAGATGAAAACTGCCATGGAATCTAAGATGTTGCTCAGATCTCTCCTGGGAAAATCTGTGCAGCAGCACGAGGATACCTGACTGTGCTTGCAAGGAACAATAGTTCTTTATGAGTTCTTTACATTGTCTTAAAGGTAGACTCTGAAAGTACAGGAGTTTCTCTGCTGTTTGTCACTGCTGTGTCCCAGCTCCAGGAGGCTGCTTGTGTTCTGCTACTGAGTGCACCCAACAGATGTTCATTCCTGATACTCTGGTAATCTCAGCCAGTTTTCTTCTAGACATACCAGTGTCACTATCTTCTCCTTTTTTACTCTCTTCCTACAGACTTGTGCTTTGAGTTTATAAAGTATCATCACTGAGAAGCAAAACAAAAGTCAGCTTTCCAAAAAGGCAGGCAAGATTTCTCATTTTCTCAAGTCCATAACAGAGCACCTCATTTACACTGCTGCTGATGTTACAGAATCATTAGGGTTGGAAGAGACCAGGGTCACCTGGCATTCACAACCTTAACCATGGTATTTCCTCATGGACCGATTTTGTATAACATCTTGTGGTGAGCAGAGCTGGGAATTCCTCATCCTTGCTTTGAAATTCTTCTGATGTGCCAGCTACCCCACAACACCACCAAATCCCATGCTACCTTAGGCTTCCCAAGTTACAACACATTGTTACTCACCTTTTTGCCCTCTGTGCTCTCCCCAGTGACGTAGGACAGTTTCCGACGCACGTAGAAGAGCATGTCATCCTGCCGGGGGGCCCACTTCTCCATGAAATAGGTTGAGAACATCCAAGTCCAGAACACAATACGGTCATCTTTGAAACACCCTAGGAGGCACAGAAAAGGAGATATGAGAGTTGTAAATGAGGGTGTCACTTTTGTTGTGCTTAACACACCAGAACTATAGTTATAAATCCTTCTGTGGTGCACATGACAGTAAAAGATTTTAAAACCACAAAATTCAGGGAGGTAGAAAGAAAGTTAGGCTTAGTAGGCCCTGGGAAAATGTTAAAGGTAGGCCCTGGGAAATGTTAGGCCTTGTATTTCCTAGATCATGTGAAACTGCACCTGTGTAGTCAGTATACGACAAATGATATAATTGTTAGATGTGGTTAGATATAATTATTGTTTAAAGAATCATGGGAAACTATGTAAGAGGTTTGAGGAGATCACAAGAAATCCATGCTTGGATGAAATCAAAGCATACAATAGAACAATGCAAGTTTAATAATTAATATGTAAGTTATATAACAATAGGATATAAAACATGTTTGGTCTGAAAACATGTTGGAGTCAGATTTGGGTTTGTCTATCCCTGACACCCAGAGCTCTCAATGAAAGCCCCTGCATTTAACCATTCCATGATTGTGTTCCTGAATGCTAACACACAGACCCAGTGCTGCCACTTGGCCTGAGCCCACAGGCTGCCTTGGGACATTGTCAAGCACATTCCAGCAACCAATCTGCCCCTCTGCCCCACAGGCAGGGCACAAGGTCAGGGCCCAGGAGCAGACCCTGGCTTGTGGCATTCACATTCTCTGAAAAATCCCTTCACCCAGGGTTTTTCTCCTGGGAAGATGAGAAGCCTCAAAGAAAAACAATAATTATCTCATTTGCTTCTCCTGTGTTTTGCTCCTTTGGAATGTGTTTGGAGATTGTTGCATTGGATTCTGCTGTGAGTTGCTTTCACTCTTTGGCCAATCGATGCCAAGCTGTGCCAAGACCCTGGAGAGAGTCACAAGTTTTCATTATCAGCTTTTTAGCACTCTGTCTGTATCCTTTCTGTATCCTTTAGTATAATATAGTATAGTATTCTTTAATACAGTATAGTATCATAAAATAATAAATTAGCCTTCTGAGAACATGGAGTCAGATTCACCATTCCTTCCTTCATTGGGGCCCCCCACAAATACAATACCTGGCTCTGCCTGTGCTATGAAGAAGTGCAGGGCCAATGCCCTGAGAAAGGGCACATCAAAGCCACACTCAAGCACTTCCAAAGACATGTGGTGACAGCAAATGCTCCAGTTAATGGTCTGAAGCCACAAGGTGCCTACAGGTTTCTTATGGGGTCGTGGGGATTACAGCCAGTCCTTCAGGAACTGATGCCTTCCTTAACCAATACACAGAAACAAGAATGTACCTAGGACTGTAATTCACCCTCTCTATGACAAAGGAACAAAATCCAACTCAAGGAAATGATGAGCTCACAAGCCTTGATCGCCAATTACACAATAAAAAGTGGCAGGAGAAGGACAAAAATGGGAAGAGGAAGATGCCACGAAGTCTCATTCAAGGAGATGAAGGACATCAGCATCAGCAATAGCACTGCAGTTGGCCTCTCCCCAAGAAAAGGAGGCACAGCAGAGGTGACATCTCATTTTGTGAAACTCTCCAAAGCTCTTAGCTGTAATAAACCAGCAAAGAGTGCTGCACCTCTTGTATTGTTAAAGATAAGAAGAGAATGCAGTCCTGTGCCTGGCGATAGGGGAGCTGATTACCACTGTATGGAGTGACTGCATCCCCTCCCCAAAGCCCCAAGGCTGTTATAACCAAGCTGTTTTAAACATGTGAGGAGAGAAACTCTAAAAGAAATACAAATAATTATATTGCTGACAAACAACAAAAACCTGAAATAGATAGTGGAGATAATGTATGGTTATTATGTACAAGACAGGTGGAGGTGTATGTACAACCCCTCCTCCAGAACATCTACCCTTCACAGGACATCCTCAGCACATTTTCCTACTTCACCCCATGTGCAGTATTTGCCAGACAAATCTTTCTTCCAATCTTTAATTACTGAGGTAGGCAGGAGATTAGACTTCCAAAATTTTAGCCGAAAGATGTGTGACTGAAAGAAAAAGATTAAGTGTCCCCAAACTAAATAAAAAAGCAATATTGAAACCACAATAAAAATCCACTGATGGACCATGCACAGAATATGTAAATCAACATCAAGCAGGACAGTATTTAAAAAATGCGTATAGCTGATTAAAAAAAATAATTGAAAGGCTGAGGGAGAACAGAAAAAGGTCAAGGTAGTTAGTTCCCAGTGCAGGCTAATTCCAGGCCACACTGCAATTACTTTATTTGCATGACTGCAGTGAAGTAGCTTCAATTACTTAAGGCAGCATGGAACATAATGTGCAATCCTGAATAAAATCTGCATTAAATACTTGAGTACTTAAGGACTATCCATTTTTTTTTCAGTGGACAAATGGAATCAAGTGCTGGAGAGATTAAATACAGGATCCTGATCATCTTCATCACAGGAATGTCTCCTTAGGGCACAAATGAACAGGACTGTGTATAGCAAATAGTTACACCTGAGAGCATGCAAGAGTGAAGTCCAGTGTGTTCAAATTCACAAAACCAGTCTGAAAAAGGACAGGATTATCACTGGTGTGTATAGTCACATAGGAATACCAAGAAGAGAAAAAAAAAACTCTTCAGGTTTAAGGCTAAACCTCACTGACAAGGCCAAATGTCTCTAAATGAGCCACTGACACACATGCAGGCTGGAAATCCAAAGCTGATTCCTAAGCATCCAAGCCACGAAGTTGAGGAGCAGCACCCTCAGCTGGAATAGTGAAGGCAAAAATCCCTGCAGCTGAGACAAAGCTCAGCTTGGTTAAGAAAGTTCCTGTGGTACCTGTGACAGCTGAGGACACCATGACCCAGTCCCATCTCTATATTTAGCAAAGAGCAGAAAATGGCACACATTCATCGTGGTTAACTAATAGCCTCAAAGAAACTCAAAATCTCATGGGGTTAGAGTGCCTGAATTGCCAACCTTAATTAGATGAGGAGGGAGGAGGAAAGAGGATTGCCCTGAGTTCCTCTGAAGTTCTAAGAAAGACAAAGGAAAAGCTAAAAAATGAATGTACATTCTCTAAGAACCACCTCTGAAAGTGCTCTAGTGTTCAGAAATACTTTGCTTTGGTTTGCTCCATAAACAAAGTAAGTCTAGGCAAGGCACTCTTAGATTTATAATGCAAAATCAAGTTATCTAAATCCAGCATTATAAAAAAAGGTTTATTAATCACTTCTATATTCTTGCAGTACATGCAAAACTCTGAGGAACTGTCCATCAGCTGCTGACATCAGCAGGTGTGTTTTAGGCTATAAACCACAGGAATTTACTATGCTCAAATAAGTATTCAGGGGTGGTTACAGCATATATATTTAGCATATATATTTAACATATGCATTATTGGGTGGTTATACCTGCAGAAGAACAGAACTGGGTAGAATGCCAGGACTCTATGTGTGCTTTTACCCTTGCTGGGGAACACAGAACAAAGGGATTCCATGGATTAAACCTTAGTCTAAACAGAAAACCTGGGGAGAAAAGTGCTGCAGCACTGAACCTATTTCAGCACTGCAGCACAATGCAGGGGAAAAAACCCTGGAACCCTTTAGAGCCACATTGGATTACTGTCAATTTCAACCCCACCTGCAGCTGATGAGATGTAAAACTCTTCTTTGTGCTTCAGAGATGCTTGCAGATTCTGCTGTAATTAAAACCAGCCTGAGGATGCTGTGACTTGTGACTGCAGTGGCTAAAGGACTCGTCTTCAAGCCAAAAAGAGCCAAACCACAACAAAAAAGCTGCTTTTTTTAAATTCTAGTAGCACCAGAGAGGATGTGCAACAGCACACAAGAAGAAATAGCCTTTAAAAGCTACTACTAAATTGCATTACCTTGCAAAGGAGACAAAACATTTTTATTTGTAACCAGAACTTAAAAATTGAGAGGGAGAAAATCTATTACAATTTAAAAGCCTGAAACTGTCAGATCCAGTATGTCCACTCAGGAATGCCTTCAACTATTACATCCCCACATTACAGTAATTTTGGTCATTTACAGCTTCTCACTAGAAGCCTTCCAGTTTTGCCAAGAAGAAAATTGGAAACATCTATAGTTGAGAGCATGCAGTAAGTCAGCTTCCTGAAAATGCTCCTCCCCTAGCAAATCTCACTTCTAAAGGAATAAAATGGAATTAAGAGTTCAGACTATAAATCTTAATAAACCCAAAGTAGGTTATATAATTATGAGACCTTTGTCATGAACAAATCCTAACTACAACAATTACTGTAATTATACATTTACATGCATTTTATCCTCATTAGAAGCAAAATTTATGCCAACTGCTATGCAATAAATGTCTTTCTTCTTACCTATTAGGTTTTTATACTGAACATTCATTTCAGAGAACTGACTTCATATCCACATAGGAAATCATGAATTTATTTTTTTAATGCCTTCCAAAAAATTTCTGGATAAAAGAAAGTGTCAGGTTATTATTTTGCTTCAAAAGAATAGAATAAAAGACTTCTCATTCAGTGGATAGTAATTTTTTTCAGCATGTACCACTCAGAGCTTAGAAGAACAATAATTTCAGCTAGACAAGGTTGCTTTCTTGTTATGCTTTTATTCCTTTAGTCTGCCAGGAGATTCTCCTTGCTGCGAAACATTATAAAACTCATTTCATCCAACACTGCCACAGTGATCATTCTGTAAAATAACTATCCTTAGATGTTTAGGAGTTAATTAAACACTAATGAAGATCTTTACAACCCCAGTATGGTGACGAAATGAGAGTTCTAAGCAACTCACACTGTACTTAATTTTCTTTCTGAGTTTAGCCAAGTATTTTGCAAGGACAATATAAGAAGTGCTTCACATATATTAAAGCTACCTTTGATGGTATAAGGTCGCAATTACGCAATTATATAATAAGAATGGATGTTCCCTCTCTAGAGACAGTTGCCAGCTAACCAGATCATCAGAAATCTGAAGTTCAGGCTTCTTCCCAAGACTA